ATGAAAATTCCACCTTTCCACTTCATCTCACTGAACACCATTTCCAAACAGGAAATGTGTTCCTATCTTCTGTGCACCATAAAATCAGAAAACTTATCGGTTTCCTGTTATCATCATATGGTAATTGGATCAGTTTATGAAACTATTTACATGAATCATCTTGCCTGAAAAGCAAAGTTCAGACAAAAAAAGAAACGATTTCTAAAAAGTGCTCATGATGAAAAAAGCAATGAAGGATGCACAATTGATGAGAACTGGGCTTTCTAGTGTCGAAAAAGACACAACACAACAGCCACCAACGGCATCCAACAAGCAGGAAAGTCGATCATATCCTGATTCAACGTGTCAGACAGAATGCAGCGCCTCTTGGAGATTTATTGCTTAATCAATGTTTATTTGTGCGCTTTCGTCCGCCTCACTCGCCCGTAGACTGCAATCAAGGAAGAAGGAAAATTTATTCACTTGGGCAGCATCTACTGATCAAATAGCAGTTTACAAAAGCGATGACCATAAAAGAAAAATAAATAGTAATAGGACAAACCTTGTTCTCTATAGCATACACTATATGACCGGATTTGACGAGTAGTTATAAAGCACGTCAACACAAATTGTTAAAGTTTGTGTTTTCTGTGATTGTTAAATATAAACTTACAACGATATCACCGTTCCCTTCTTCAAGGTATTTGCAGCAGTCGGCAAACAGACATTCTTGTTCATCTCTAAAGATAACATAAACGATCAAGAACTGATGCTAAGCTAAAACAGAAACGTCGAACAAAAGTAATCATAAAGGACTTTTTACATCATAACAAATTATGCAAAAAATCACGATAAAAAACACGCATATTTAACAACTTTCTATTAGGTTTTGCCCAAGAAAATAAACAAGCGAACTTCAGCACAACATTTAAAACAAAAATAATTAAATGATTCGTTGACGTACAAAAGAGCGGTTGAATGCAAACATATATGAACATATACAGCCAATACAGATATAAAAACAAGCATGGAATACGGAAATGAGGAATTTTCAAAACAGTACTGCACAGAAAGAAGGCAAGGTGAATAATATTAAACATCATCCCTCGTAATGGTACCTGAACAGCAGAGGAATATACTTTTTTATTATGGATAGTGGCTATTTTGCTATCGCTTGAAAATGGCCTTATGAAGCTAAAATCACCGATAAAGTGTTGTATCCCATGAATGTTTAAATACCATTGCGCAGTGGACTACTTAAATCGACCCCTTAGGAGCCTAAAGGCAATGGGTGGTGCAAGCACGCATAGAAAATCCGGTACTAGGAATTGAAAGGTAACAGAGGAACTGGAAAGCTGCGATATACGGCAGTAGGCAAAACATCTGCATTTTATTTTATGTAAACCAAATAACATTAGCGAGAGAACAGTTGGAGATGATCAGTCAAACCAGAACAAACTATCAAGGAGCACAACTGTTTAAGAATATGTCAGATTCTAACATTTCATATTTGAAGTACTGAATAAAAATCTTCAGTGTCTATTCCAATGATTTCACTAAACTTCTTCTCCGATTTCCTT